AAGAGGATGACTGTGAAATAAAGAGGATGACTGTGAAATAAAGAGGATGACTGTGAAATAAAGAGGAAGACAGTGAACTAAAGAGGAAGACAGAAATAAAGAGAGAGAGAAAGAGGATCAGGAGGAAAAATGTGTGTTTCAAATTCACAGAGCCATGAGTTAGGCCAGATCAATCGTGTAATATCAATTTTGGATGAAATCTTCTAAATGGTTTACATACTAGCATTGACCACAGATGGACAGGGAATACTTTACAATATTTTCCTCTTATATATTGCAGAAGTATGTAATCCATGACGCACAAAGGGGAGATATGTGCACAAAAATCATTGACATGATTTAAATACTTGTTTTGTTTAGTGTTTGTGTACTGTGTTATTATTACATGCTTTCTGTTCACAACAAGAACACGATTGATTGATTGTTTCTTTCCAGACACATCAACTGCCATGGTGGTTAGACCATTTGTACATTGAAACCTCTATGAAAGATAACCCCATTAAATCATCTCTCTCAAGGACCAATTTTTCTCAGAACAGAAACAAACTGATATAGTGAATGCAAATTAAACTTCTGTTAACAGATCATCCCTCTCCTGAAAAAAATCTGATGTGGTAGAATATAAATATCGAAAGTCAGGATTATGAACTTGCCTCATAATACCAGAGAGCATCCAGAATCTGAGCCTAACATTCCTCCAAAATCCATCCCTTGAAGATTTTTATTTATACAAAGAAATGCAAGAAAAGCAAGTTTTTGAGCTTCTAAGACATATGTGCCTTGCATCCGAAAATGACAAATTGAGTCTACACAAGAAAATGGAAGTTCATTAGCTGTAAACAACAATTGGGGGTAGAAAAACAGAAAACAATTTAAATGATTATTTTCCCCCAAGAATAGGCAACAGTAATATTGTTTAAATAAATATACAATAATAGTAAATAATTCTAAAAAGGCATTCACAAAGGCAAAATAAAACTTAGTCAAAAAGTTTCATTTTTCATAATTTGTTCTCATATACTAAAAACATTTTATAAACATCTTATATAACAGGCACTTTTGTACACATATGAAGTCTAGTAATCACAAATCATTTTTTGTTGAAAAAGATTCCCCTACCAACACTTAAATCCACCCCTCAAAAAAGACTTATTTTACGGAACCAACAGTCGTCACTGTTTCACTGTGCACTGAAATTATTATTCTGGGAGAAGACTGTACTCCTCTCTCTATAAATGGCGAGATCCAGTGGGAAACTACATGTCGGCTTGTAGAGAGATTTCCCCTCTCCAGGTATTTCCACCCAGCAGGGCAATGCCCCAGTCAAGACAAGATCTACTCTCCTAACAAGTGGTTAGTACAGTGTGTGTGTAAATAAGATGATAGGACAAGTAAGAGGAACGATAGAACGCACATAGCCCATGACCCATGTGATATGGTACTACTCCAGCATTTGCTTGGTAGTGATTGGAGACACCAAGGAAAACTACTGATCAGAGCAGCTGGCTGCTAGAATTCCCTTCTAGCCAGTGTCTGAATTTGACCGAGTAGTTTAACTAGTATTGAAAATTCCACCACCGTTGTGACTCAAAGCCTAGGGCCTCCTAATCAGAGTCACTGCAAACACAGTAGCAATACTGGCTTTGAGCAAACTCCGCTGGTACAAGAACATAATTTCATCCATCAAAACTGCAGTATAATTATTTCACAGAATTATGCCTTTCATTTATGTAATACCTATTTCTTGTATTCTGGAAGCACCTTTGAATACAGATTGTCTCAGAATTTTCTAATATTATGAAATATATTTTTTAATTACATTTCTTAAAAATTAAGAAACTTTATATTACTCAGCACTCATAATGAAAAGAATACATACATTGTATGTTTTAAAGAATCCAAGATATCTTAAAACACCAAACCATACAAGAAGATTTCCAGTGCCCAACAATACTCCACAAATATTCCACTGATCACTTGCTACCTCCTGTAACAAACAATTGAACATTGTAAAATGTGACAATCCAATAGCAACAGAGCAAACAATGATGTCCATGGATTCTATATATCTGAATATCACAAGGGGTAGTTAATTAATGGAACTATTCTTAGAACAGATCCTGAATTAACCATTGAGACAACTTTGGCTGCACTGACATATTGATAATTCCACATCCTGTTTCTCAATAAGACATTTTATTTTGGTCAACACATTTGCTCTCAAAGGCCAGTTTTAAGAGCCAAAATGTTAATATGTAGTTTTCATTACCAATTCACTTAAGTTTCATATCCAATTTCCACCCTCATTAAATAGCCTCCCAGCTGCAGTCAAGATGCTTAATAAACAAAAGTGTCCATTGAGATTTGTTTAGGGACCGTGAAAGTGATACAAGTTAGTACTGAAATATTCTATTAGTACGGATGCAAAATCTCTGTCAATGTTTTCACAATATTGTTCTTATAGAAACATGTTTTAAACACCAATATATTAAAGCGTTATTTTAACATTGATTTATTGGCTCAATGTTTTTAGTTTTAGTTGTATTTTAATGATAAATTCCCATAATCGCAATTGTTTAAAAGTTAAAATACGAAATAATAACGGATGGTACCACTGTCATTGCGAGTTCAAACCAAATGAATGCTGTTTGTACACTTTCATTGAGCAACAGGTCTACTGTCATTGTCTGTTATGACCCTGATGCCCCCTGAGCACTTCTCTGTGTGAAATTCAAGGAAAGATGTAGGAAATACTTGAGCATCAGGGTTAATGCATGCACCATGAACATAAGGCATCCCCCTTCTTACCATACCCTTCTTTGGCAAACTAAACTGACACTGACTTGACCCTGGGTGTTCAAGATATTAGGGTGAAATTTCCCCCACCCCTAATCTTTGACATCACGTTCGTGACCAATTATGAACAATTAAAATTATTTCAGAAGTGTATTTATTTACAATGTATTTAAACTGCCCACGCTTTGCTTTTTATAAATATATGTACTAAGTTATGCATATTGCGCACCACTCCTACCCACAAAAAGATTCCCCTCATAATCCCCTAATCACCCCTTGTCCCCTCCACCGTGAATTTCCCCTTCACTGGAGCGGCGCGAAGTGCTGGTTTAAACGACTTCCTTAGGTTGTACTGTATAGCTTTCACACACCCTTCAGCCAATTTCACAAACCCTGGATGTCCACTCACCTGCTTTTCAATTTGTTCTTTGATTGCTGATCCCAAAATAATTAGAACATCATTCACTATTATCATTATGTACCACATGTTTAGAAATTCCAGACGACCTTCAACACTCAGATCTTTGTTGTATGTTGCCTTGAAGAATTTTCTGGTTTCCTGAAATCATGTGAGCAATCAAACTTACATTGATGTCTGAAAATAAAACTTAAGTTGATTAAACCAAGGTATAATATTAATAAAAAAAAAGAGTTTTGGTCCATTTAGCAACCAAAAAACTTATCAACAGCAACCAAAAAACTTATCTTCGGTTGAAGAATAATAAAATATCACTAGTATTGTAACTTACCTCCTTAAGTTGTTGAGCTCTATAAACAGCACGACTGCAGAGAATAAATGATATACTGCAGATGAAAATGACCAGAGAATTCAAGATACTACGGAGTATCAGATCTATTTCATTGTCCACTAGTTTTGAAAGAAAAAGAATGAAGTAAAAATTAAGAAACCAATAACATCAAAAAAATGTATCATTACAAAATGAAAGTGTCTCTCAGAAGCAAAGAATTTATTTTAATTTAAAAAAATGCAAATTATTCAACATTTTTTGCTCACATACTTACTTATTCAAAAAGCATAATAATGAAAAGTATAAAAATGGATTCTGAACTTTTCATTTAGAAGAATTTCTAATTAACAATGAACCTTTTCTTAAGTTCACAATAGTTATTGTGAAATAAATAATGGATACAAACTAACCTGTGTATTCAATATCACCTTTGCAACACAATCTGACTGCATCTGCATCCAAAGTTAACAACATCTGTCCATCATGATCTCTGTTATCAAAACTTATCTGAAAAGACCACTACACTATGCATCATCCATAATTTGAGTTTAATGATAAAATTTTGTGATTCGCATTAATATGAAATATTCACAATTTATCAATATACCCACGTCATAATACATGAAAGAAATTCAACAGATGTAACAGAAATACCTCAATATCAAATTTGTAGCAATCAGGAGGAGTCATGGGGCCAGCTGCCTTGAAATTAACAGTCTTCACAGAAAATTGCAATGTGGCACTCACTAAAGCAGAAAATTCTATCTTCACATGTTGCTTATTTAAAAATTCTTTTGAGCTGAATCCTTTAGTGATATTAGTAAAATTTGCACAAGCTGAAAACCAAATCATATAATATTAATGTACAAAACTATCTCTGGAAGTTATATTTCCTATGTTCATCATAACCAAAAGTTCTCTATATCAGAGTTTACTATAACCAGAGTTGACTGTATGTTCCAATTCACAAATAGGTTCACAAATTTTTTCGAACATATTCTAATTAAGATGGCTAAAATTAATTAATAGCTATAAAATTAATATGATATCATTTAAATATTACAATATAATATTTAAATAGTAAAATACATATTTAAAATGATCACAAAACAGTTAATTTACACAAATAAAAAGAGTGAATTAACTAAAAATAAACAAATAATTACAATACTTACTCTCAATGATTTCACTGTTAAATATATAGCTTTCATTGAAACCAAAAATTGAACCTTCTTTATATTGTGAAAAACACAACATTGGAGATGACATTGAATTATCTTCTTCTGTATATGAGTATGGGCCAATGGCTTCTGATAAATTTGAGTACTAAAAAAGTTCAAACCTTTTAGAAAACATTTCAACTGCAATGTTTAAATGAAGTCTTTCATAATAAAAGGTCTACTTACACCTTCAATAGCAAAATCTAAAGTGTCATAAAATTCTGAGATTTTATACAAAGCAAGTGGCCCCAGGCCTGGTGGGTACGAGTTGACTTCTCGGGTTGCATCCCATCCTCTCAAAAATAAATGGGAAAAAGCTATTCTGTTGTCCCAAGTGTAGTTCACATGATTATAACGACTATGTGCAAATAAGCACAGCTGAAATTATTTCAAAGTTATGAAACAAAAATGTACATACTCTTAAGCACATTAAAAAACTGAAATATCAGTTCTTTTTAGGCTGATGAATAGAATGATATTTTTCTAAATACAGGCACTTATGTGAAAAAATTCCATCCATTCTTTCAATATTACACATTGATATATTTGAATCCCCCACATTCTTTCCTGCTCCTCCAAACTGTGATTAAGCAAATAAGTTAATACAGGAAAAATATCTCTACTCAGTCCTTTTCCAACTAACAGACAGATTAAGAACTGACAGTGATTGACCAGCTAATTGAAAGTTAAATATAACTGCTTATTACAGATTAAAAGCAGTATAAGTGAAATAACAAAATTTATCATTTATCCCAACAAAGGACTCAAATTAATCATAACACAATTTTTTTAAAAATTTCTTATTATTGTTTGTACAGTTTTACAAAAACCTTGCACGATTATCAAAATTCTTTCACATACAATCATTTGTCTAGGATCTCACTCCAATGATTGTGATCTAAATGTAACTTTCATGAAATGCTCAAAATCTACTAGTTTCTCTTAAAAAGAAAAAAAATGTTAACTCACTCAGATAGCAAGTTTTTTTCTCTGAATTTCCAAAAGTGATTTGGCTATTGCCAAAATACTTATTCCATCAAAAATATTGGCAGATATATGCACTAAACAGATTGTAGTAAAAATTTGCTACAATCACCAAGATTAAGAAAATTTACAAAAGTAATTCTACAGAATTCTCTAAAGAGTGGATTAAACTATACTTTAAACAAACACTATATACTCGTGTTGTCAACTGCAATCATTTAACACAGTTTCGACAAACAGATGAAATTATGAATAAAATCCAATATTAATAGAAATTTAAATACCTTGTCTATCATTTTTTTAATTTATCTTTCTCCACAACAATGTCATAATCAATGAAATCATCAATTTTTGATGAAACAATAGACAATACATAATTAATGTCAACAATATTGTTAAAATAAATTGGGTTAATGTTACTCAAATTACAAGCCAAAATTAATAATTACTGGATATGTACCTTAATATAATATAACCAATAAAAAAAGGTCTTTTAACTTTAAAAAAATTAAGGCATCATAAATCTATTTCTTTTTTTTTTTTTTTCTCCATACTATACTGCTCACCTGCACTGTTACCAATATTATTTTCATTATTTGTACAATGAATTTACAAGGTAGTCTTCGTTTCGCTTGCCATTTCTCAATTGGATTCATAAAGAAAAATTTTAATTTTCTTTTCATTATTTGTTCAATCTCTGTAACAGAACTGCTTCCAGGAACGTATCTTGGATTTAGCTGATCTGTCTCCTCAAATGCAAGGGTTCCTGAAAACATAAAGTAAACTTGAAAGGAAAGAGAATGAATTTAAGTTATGCTTTCAGATTCATGATACTGAAACTACAAACATAAATGTCATACACAAATTTCATATCACATTTCAGATAATTAATACAGGCCTACGATTTGTTTACATAAACACACATTCATAAAACATTAACTTAAAGGAAACCAAGAAAATCAAGACATACCTTCATCATCGCCTGACCACGAACAACTACTAGCGCATTTATTGTGTTCAAGATCATTTTCTGCGTTACATGAGCAAACGCGATGCTCATTAGCATTATCCATGTTCAATAATATCTATAAGAAATTGCTGCGTTTTCCCCCAAAAATGGTATCTTCTTCGCAAATGCGGACCTATTTCAACTATTTACTATTTACGGGGTTCGGTTTTCCAATATTTGCTTAAGACCTCCTCATTTTCTTGAAGTTGCCCAAAACCGTCCCGTCTCTGAATGTTAAAATTGTGTCGACATATATCACTAGGCTTTCAGTTCAATGATTATTGTTTCTTTTCACACTCTTACTGTCAGATATCAGCGCAAAACAAAGATCAGACTCCACATCCTCTTTGGTGTTCTGTGAGACTACAGCACGTGAATAGGAAAACAGCTGACTTCGCAGAATATTTGAAATCTGCTTGCTTGACAGATCTGAAAACAAACGACTTCCGAGGCCACGGAATAATCAATGCAAATATTTGTCTATTTATTTTCGTCACTTCATAATATGCATGGAAATGTTTTTGTCAAAATGACCAGTATTGCAGATAACACTGAAAACTTGCGACAATAATATAATAATGAACTTCGTTGTCTTGAGTAGTTACTGACCATAACAAAAACAAAATAACATCCAGACGAGTACTGAATGTAATTAAACATTATTTTGTAGCATAAACATGATTTTTAAGAACGTCTCATTTGTGTATGAGCTTTTTATGCAGCCGAAAACTACCTGTGTCATTTTTTAGCGTTTAATCCTTTCACGCACAAAAATGAAAGAAAAGGCAAAATTATTTTTAAACATTTTCAAACTCTTTATTCAGCATTAAATATCATATAATTATTGTTTTAACAAAAACGTGTAGCTTTGTTAAAATCGTAAGGGTGTACTATGTGTCCCAATGTGCCTCAAAGGGTATATTTTACGGGAAACGTATGGGATCACACTAATTGAAATAAAATAACAAATTTGTAATTTTTAATATCGTTTATCTTATGAGTAATTCATATATTTTATTTATTTATTTATTTATTTATTTATTTATTTATTTATTTATTTATTTATTTATTTATTT